ACATTTATTTGTATGATTTAATTTTCGAAAAATAATATGGCTAGCCTCTCTTAAACTTTCATATGTTATAGAGAATTGTAAATTAAAATAGGTTTTTTTATTTTACAAATATTAGATGTGAAATCTTTTTTTCTTCTCTATTTCCCCTTAATTTCTAAGACCTTATTTAAGAAGTTAGTAAGTATAAGTATATAGCGAGAAAGACTCGTTGCTTTCTTTCGCTATGATATACGCGGGTATATATAGTTATATAGCTGTAGTCGGCATTTCCATGCACACCACTCCTCTCTCCGTAGGCACATATTCAGTATACCCCTTCCACGCGTCTCCGAAGTATGTGCCTACATGCCCATTTCCACGCGAATCTGTAGGCACACACTCGGTATACCCCCTCCACGCTTCTCAAATAAAAAAAAAAATATGTGTGCCTGGTTCGACCGCTTGGCCGCGACGGGGCGCTCGAAACAGTGGCCAAAAGTGAACTCGCGCCGTAGCATTGCAGTCAGCAATCTCTCTACTAATCTCTGATGATAAGTTTTATCGTCTTAGAACTGTCAGATATATGCCACGCGATTTGATTTGACTGATGATTTATCACGATGATTGTGATGAAGCAAAGCTCTCTGTTTAAGTCGGACTTTTAATTTAAATTTACTTATAAGTAGATCTCTTATTTAATAATTTACCTACAAGTGTTGAGCAAATTGTTGTTCAGTAGGCGATACTATTAATAAAGTGATAATCAGAAGATATTAATGGCGTACGTCCTTTACAAACGAGATAGTAAATATTTACAACCTATAAATAAAATATCATTTGACTCTATGATGAGACAAAAATGATATTTACGAATCATATTTGAATTTTCAGAATACATTTACGTGTAACATTACGACTGTGAAAATCATGTGGATATTAATAATTTTTGGCATGTGAGTTGATAGTTTTATTAGATAACTAAAGTTCATCCTCACAACGTATTACTTGATTTGCACTATTGCACGGTGTTGTATTTATAATTACAAATCGCTTTGGATGTCTGACAGTTTTAAGACGATGAAACTTATATACGTGAGACACGAATCTGAAAGATTTAAGACATGGTTCTGAAAAACATAAGACACCGTATTAACGCACCTTTAACCAGCCGCCACTCTTACCAGAATTGAGAAAACTTATGATTTGTGGAGATCCGAAATATTTTGCTCATATTTTATTCTGGTGAAGAGTTTTATTGGTATTCAAGAAATGCTATATGATCTATTCTATAAACCAGCCACAACTTAAACTAATGGATAGAAAATGAAACGTTGTCCCATGAATGTGTCATTTGCGGGAAGATTAAAATGCATCTTGGACTCGAAAATCGACCTTCACAAAATTGATATTGTAATCTTATCTATAATTGTATCTACAATGCTTCCTCTATTCATCTTAGATGCATATTATAGATAAGATTAGCGTTAGATGATCGGTATGGGAAGGTCATTTTCTCAACTTTTTCGAATCCGAAAATCGCCGGAACTTTGATTTTGGAAATAAATTATTGTAAAAAAAATTAACTAGCAAAGTTGTATCTTGGTTTTGATTTTTTGTAGGGGTTATATTTTCTTATGGTCAATTTTTGTGTACAAGATGAATGTTAATCTTGCCGCAAATGCCATTGATAGACAACTTTTTGTTTTTTATTCATCAGCTAAAGTTGCGGCTGGTTTATAAAATAGACCATATGGCACTTTTTGAATACCGATAACACTCTTCACCAGAATGAAATACGACAAAAATATTTCGGTTCTCAACGAATCATGGGGTTCCTCAATTCTGGTGAGAGTGGCGGCTGGTTAAAATTTTGACCACCCTCTGGTCTCAGCTCTTGGTCTATCACAGAAGTTCATAATCACCAAACAAAAGTTATTTGGTACGGCCCCAGGGACGGATCGTCGTTCTTTCTCCATAGCCCAATCATGCAAAAGCAGCGCTTAGCAGCCACATGGTATGAAGCTTTCATTAGCCTGTAAGAACGTTTGTAAAATATCTGATACAGAATGCGCAGCTTTTTCATTTTATAGTAAAATCAACTGTATTTACTCTTGAATTAAAAAAAAATATTTGTGTGTACACTAGACAATAATTCACTATCTTTATTGATGACTCAAAAGTTCTTGAGATAAGAATGACGATGATCTTTTCTTGACCTCTGACATTAAAGAAAAATTTTAAATCACATCAGTATGATCAATATTTACATTGAAAGTTCTAGCTATCTTCTTGGCCATTTATGACTAACTAACTTTAACGAGGGTGACATACTATCTTAGAGGATTAGAAACAATGACAGAATTACACGTTATGAATCTACCCAATCATCTTATTTAATTTTTGAAACAAAAACATTCCTAATTAAAGCAGCAAGCTTTAAAATTTTATTAATCTGGGTGTCAGCCCAAATATAGACATATATCCCACAAACTGATAACGCGGCAGACAAACTAGCAAAAGATGCCATTCTCATTGGCACATACATACCTAAATACCGACTTATCTTTTTGAGACTTTACTGAAGCTATGAGAAACAATAAAAAATCTTCTACACAATTACTATCTGATCAATCACACCATATCTGAAAGCACTTCTCCTTTCACAATGACTAACAAATAACCATGGTTCTCTAAATCTAACTATCCAAGATTTGACGCTACATCTCTTAATCGGAAAAACTACATCCCTTTATTTTTTTGTCGATCGCGCCATCAAACTCAAGACCACTATGCTGAAGACATTGATCATATATTATCCTACAGCACTGTCCATACTACTCATATTACTCATAAAATAAAAATCTACTGAAAATGTCTCAATTTCCAAAAACCAACGAAACCAACACGACCAAAACTCGGAAATTTGATTGAAATATATTACTTCACTAATTAAAAACGCCCTCTGTTATGACCTGGTTCTTGGGCCGCTTGGGCGTAGAGGAGGTAGAGCACGAAGTTGTTGGTGGCCGGTGGCGTTCTTCGTCCAACAGATGGCGTTGTTCGGGTGAGTTCGTTACCCGGTGAGGCACATTCTCTAAGGGCACGAAAGTGCCAGGCCACGGTCAGGAAGGTCTCTACTGCTCTGGAAGCTGGAAGTTGGTCTCTAGGTGCCCAGTAGGCTCCTGGTACTTGGGCTGTTGTTGGGTCTTTTGATGGGAAACCCTTCTCCAAGAACTCGTAGAGATGATGTCTAGGTCATCAACCTGGGCCTAAAAAACTGTTTTTGACTTCCGGACTGCCCTGGCTAAGCGTAGAAATTATACAGAGGCGTGCGTGCTTTTTTGTTCGTATGGGAGCGCCAAATTGAGCGTCGTGAGTTCTACAGCAGTCTAGCCTCAAAATTCGACTAGATAGTTTATAATTAGGTATGACAGATGCCTGCCTCCTGGTGTCCGTCCCTTTTATACGCTTCTCCGGATCCGGTGATGTTGGTTTCGTATGTTGGCTCTGCAGATCGTATGGGTCCTGGGGACTATGCGTCAGCTTGCAAGCGTGCGTGATTGCTTTGGGGTGTGGGCTGCACCTTGTTGACCTGGGTAGGCTGGGTGCAAAGCTGAGTCAACCTACATGCAGGTTCTAGAGATATGGGTATGGTGAAGGAAATGCGATTGAGTCAGTTTGTGCGAGGGCTTGCGGCCTTTTGGAAGGAATGTGTAGCAATGTGATTAAGTCAAAGCTGGCATGAGGGTTTCTAGGAAAGTACAGTAGAGGCCGTTTAATTCATTGAGCGGGAAGTATAAAATTGACCAATGAAAGAGGTTATGTGATCGAATCAGCCAATGGGAATTAAATGTTTTAATTTCCCGCTCAACGAATTAAACGGCCTCCACTATACGTGCAGAAATACGAATGAGTTAGAGCTCGCATGAGGGTTTATGGCTTTGGGAAGGTACGTGCATGAGTCAAAGCTTGTGTGACTTCGTGCAAGAATGCGAATGAGTCCTGAAACAAATAATTCAAAATATTGTCTCCGAAAGATCCAAAAAAATTTTAATTCTAGGGGAGCTTTCGTATAGCCTTTTGTATCAATTGATATGTTCTCAAGTTATTCTTATTCTGTCATAAAACAGCATTTTAATTTTGATGCACATTGCTCGACTCCTGGTCCTGAGTCCTGAGATTATCGTGAGAAGCCCATACATGTCGGAACAATACACCCTTGGATCCATAGACATATAAGAAATAGACTGCTCGTTCTTATGTACGGCGCTGAAGCACAAGTAGGAGACACAACATCGAACATGTAATTTTTCTCCCTCGCGTATTGCCAAAGGTGGGAACATGCGAGAGAGACAGATATCCACGTTCGATATTGTGTCTCTTTCTACTTGTGCTTCAGCGCTGTACATAAGAACGAGCAGTCTATTTCTTATATGTCTATGGTATCCCCTTTATTTACCAGACGCACAGTAGAAAACTATAGTACCGGCATAATTTTCAATGCGTTGTATACATGTATGTGTGAATTTTAACCTAGTTTTTTGTTTTTTTCATTTAGCAGTAACTTTACTTTCACTGAACGGTTATTTAAATAACACTAATATGATCCTTATTCATATTCTTCTTATGAAACAATGACCTCAATCTTTACGTTATTTATTGAGATATTAACAGATGAAGAGGTAATAACCCATTAGATGCCATGTTGAATTTCAAGATACATTCTCGTTAATAACTCGCTTCCAAAGCTGTGAACAGTCTTGAAATTTTTACTGGAGCTTTGTCTTGTAATTATTTACCTACATTTCGAATATTATATAAATCTTGAAGTTATTATCCATAAGGAGAACATTCCCGTAAGTAATATAATAAACCATCAAATCACTTTACCAGATAGTGCTAAGAATAAATTTCAAGGAATAGCTAATACAAAAATTCAATTGTAATGGAAAAATAATTAACTTCACAAAATTATAAGTACCTTCATTTTTATTGCAAATAAAAGTTCATTTATATACAAATTCTTCTACAATTTAAAAAATAATGCAATTAAAAAAATTTGATGAATGATTTAACATTTATCTTAAAAATCACGTCTACTATTACAAAATTTGGTCAATGATTTCTAAATTGCAAGGTAATTATATTATAAGCATTAAAAAATTAGAGTGATTAATTACTTATGCAACTACTGCGTTGAATTGAAAGATTACAGTAAGTATATGTATTTGTCTTTATCATGAAAAATTTCACTGATAAAATGTAGTGAAACAAGTCATTGGGATTGCATGAATTAAAATTATCGTCCTTCAACTGAAAAAAGAAGAAGAATTAATTCATGAGTTTTAATTTGAACTGGTGTTTAGAAATGTTGACTCACTGTAAGTTGACAAGTCTATCTCGTCTGGTAGCTCAGTAATATTAACGTCAAATCTTTCTTGGACGTCATTTAAAATTTTAGCATCACTTTCATCGCTCACAAATGTTATGGCCAAACCCTGTAAATTTCAACAAAATCAATAAGCATATAGAAAAGCACAGTTAATATGTTGAATAATTAATTCTTACCTTAGTACCGAAACGACCAGCTCGAGCTACTCGGTGAAGGTATGTGTCAGAATTCTCTGGCATGTCATAATTGAAGACAATGTTCACTCGCTCAATATCCATACCACGACCAAAGAGGTTCGTAGCCACCAGGATACGCTAAAAATAAATTATTCTAATGCTATTATAATGTATTGACAGCATAAAATAAATACAACTATTGATTAATATTTATGCTCAGTGAGAGAGTTCAAGGATATCACGATGTGATCATTAACTAAGAATTTTCATCATAGCATATTATAGGTGGAGAGAATAGTTTAAAAAGTTTGAAAAACAACCTACCTGTTGGAAATCTTTGAAAGATTGATATCTCGACAATCTCTCCTCTTGTGTCATTCCTTTATGAATACCAATGGCGGGAAAATTTTGTTCCGTAAGGAGTTGAGCTAATGCCATACATCTTTGAACTGATTTGACGAAAATGACAACCTACGAACACAATGTGTTGAAAAAGTAATGCCCATGAAATACGAATTTTTGTCAGTTTCTGTAAAATAAGTAACTCACTTGATTAAATTCAAGAACGTCCAAAAGTTCGAAAAGCTTCTTATTTTTTTCATTTTCCTTAAGCTTGACATAATGCTGTTGTAACCCATGGAGAGTGAGTTTGGCTTCATCATCAACATAGACTTCCATAGGCTGTTTAAACAAGCAAACAAAAAAATAGTATGTTAAGACAACTGCAATAATGTACCTCGTACGTGCGAATCTTGGGCCTTGTACTGGAACTGCTGAATGCTTAGAGATCCTTTTTGCACAAGGCACGTGAAGCGCGTGTTACAATATTCATCGAAGTGTTTCTCGGATCGCCAGATGTTTTACAGATCACAAGATACTTCATTAACATTTAACAATCTTTCAAATTTGAGAAAGACTCATTTTAAAATTAAACACATATAATTCAATGGAACTTAAAAATTGTACAAGCCTGAATTTGTAGATTTCGAAGTAATAAGTCTTATTGCTTAGCACATAAAAACAATACATAATCATCATTAATATTGTATTGAAAGCAAAATAATGTATCATCATTTTTAATGTATTGTTTTTAACGATTTTTTATCACGTTCTATGTCATTGCCCACCTAGTACTGTGTCAATGACAAAAATCCTGCAATCATCTTCACACACCTACGAATGTTACGTTATGTCAGTGGCAAACATAATAACTTCGCTCACTTCGTGTACTTTATTAATCGTTCATCATGAATACGTGGGAGTAGTTAGGAGTTGTACAATGGTGTCGAAAGGGTTTTACAATTTTTGTTTGTTCATTTTTTTAAGCTTGGGAATTACGGTCTCTGTTGCTTACAGCACAAAATAACTATATTTTAATTAATTGGTTAAGACTTTGTGACCTCGTAAAAATATAATGGACGCTATAGAAAGCAGGCTTTGATGCTTTGCAATTCTAGGGATTTTTATTATATCGGAAGTAATTATTACTATTTAACTAGTCCCTGACAATAGAATTTGTTTAAATTTGACTGCCATAACTATGATTAATCTATTCCCAAATAGATCCTCTTGAATCTTCTTTCTTGAGATCTTCTTTCTTCAGGATGTGTTGATTACTCTTGATCCACCCACCCCATGTTTGGTTTTCTGATTCCAACTAATAATTTTACCTATGAGCAATGTTTTCTTGTTTCTACCAGAGATAACGCTAAATTTATTTCCTGGCTTTGGATAGAAGCAAGTTTTAATTTGTGGTTTTGATTTTTCAACTTAACAAATTAAAACTAAAATTCCTAGCTATTCGATTATAAATTACCGGGACCGAAATATTGAGAAATAATCTGTAACTCCCAAGGTACGAAGGATGTCATGAGGCTGGCTTTAGAGCAAGTTTGTCAACTCTGATGACATTCACGGAAGACGAATGCCTGACGACAGCTATCCGGAATGCCTGACGATTTTTTCCATTAACTGTACGACATATTCGACGACATTCGCGAAAGATGAATCTCTGACGGGCTTTCTGATAATATTGAATAGATAAGCTTTGGAGAATAGTGCTTTTACGATGTGTTGTTTTATGTGTCTACCCCACCCCCCCCGATGCATCCTACGAGGTTTTTTTTATAGGCGAGGATGGTATTGTAGATCAAAGTGAAGAAGTCACCACATCTTACATCTTGCATGAATTTTTTGCAGACTGGACGAATTTCCTTAGATAATGTAGCGCTGAACATCATAACTTGTTTGCCATGAGGAGTGCTTCGGAAAATTTCTTGTACATCTTTACGCATGTCTGAGTCATGTAAAAGAAGTCGATATTAATTATTTGTAAGTCAAAACTTGATATGTTGCACCTATGTAGTTGTTCTCACCTAACTGCTCCAGCATTTTGTCACACTCATCAAGGACAAAATGCTTAAGGTGCTTCAGATTCAGCTTTTTATTTTTGATAAGAGCTAAGATTCGTCCTGGTGTTCCTACAACAATGTGGGGGCAGGTGTTTTTCAAGACTTCTTCATCTTTTTGTATTGGTAAACCGCCGAAAAATACTGATACCTAAGATGAAGATTCCATAATATAGGCAACATTTTGAGGTCATTTTACTAATTATACAGATAAAAGAGAATTTGGTCAGTTGTGGGTAGTGGTAAATGAATGTCATCATTTGAAGCTAAGAAGCACGTTACATCATAAATAATCCTGCATAAGTGACAAAATGATAGCAAGCATAGTAATTACCTTCACTTGCGGCATGTACTTGCTAAATCTTTCGTATTCCTTGCTTATTTGAAATGCTAGTTCTCTAGTGTGGCACATAACAAGAACATAGACTTGGTTTTCGGTTAGTTCTAACTGCTGCAAGGTTGCTAAGACAAACACTGCTGTCTTTCCCATACCAGATTTAGCCTGGCATAAAATGTCCATGCCGAGTACAGCTTGTGGAATGCATTCGTGTTGAACTGTAAAATAATAAATAAATTTCCTTAACATAAACATTTCAAAATAATATAAGATCGCAATATTGTGCAGTTATCAGAAGTAGATTTAAGCAATCATAAGAAATCAGTTGTCCCTATCTAAATCATCATATAATACGTACATTTGAACTAAAATAGATATATAACAATTTGCAGGAATTAAATAATCGAAGTAATTACCATAACACTAGACAGAAAAAACAAAACAGCTATACTAACCTTCAGAGGGGTGCTCAAAGCCGCAATCGACGATAGCACGCAAAATTTCTGGTTTCAGTAGGAAATCTCGGAAGCCACTGCTGTGAATGGACACGTATGTTCCCTTGACTTCCTTCTTGGCTGGGGATACTTCGCCATTGCTAACTAGAGTCTGCTCAGTCTCATCTTCGTAATCCAAAAGTTCTTCATCTGCCATCGTGTTTGCTTGTTTCTGTTCCTAACCACGTACATACAAAAATTTTTAAATTGAAAAAAAAAAAACAAAGTTTATTATGCTATACGTAAACGTTAACTTGGCCATGCCAAACGATCACACACTGAGAATTAGAAAATAGGGAGTGGGAAGCTGAGTCGGAATTACAATGGCGGTAGCGTTGCTTGACAATCTCGTAGCAAATTTGTAAAAAACGATCAAAATTTACTGAAACCAGGACAAAACTGATAGCGCACACTGCTGGGTTTACGAATTACTGAGACTTAAGTCGTTATTAAGATTAGCTTTCAACAATGCTAGGGTGTGAAATGATAAAATGACACGATCGATTTTCAACCCCTACGGTGGCCAACAGTCTCGGCTGTTCTGTACACCTCTTACACTCACGGTATGCAAGCCGCATCGAAAGAACGCTCCGCCATTTTTGTGAGCGCCATGTTTCCCAACGCACTTGACCTCTGATTTTCAATCAACGATAACGAAAAATAAATTATACCATTAAGCAAGTACTGCACGACTGAAAGGTACGTGCACAATTTTATGCACTGAAACAGTAATTTCATAGTTTTAGAAAGAGTGATTTTCAAACGTGGTTTGAATATAGTATCGGTACTTAGCGTCTGGAAAATGGTGGCCCGCGGTTAAGGCACCTCGTGTTGGATCGTGGCTAAATATAACCCATGGTACTTCATATATATATGCGCGAAATAAGCGTTCTGGATTTTGTTACAAAATAAATTAATGACTTGAAACTACAGTTTTTACAAAATATTAAGCATTCGAGCGTCTAAAACTTTTTTTGAACGAGCACATGAAATACATGCAAAAGACGAAGAATGTGCAGACGGTGTCCACACAAATCATTGAAATTTTTAGACTACTATGTCGAACGGTATGTACGTAGTGTACCTACGAAGCGTATGTATATTTCTCACCTAATTCTGCGATACCCAAGATTGAAACAAAGACTGCTTTATAGGCTCGCACGTTCACCGCAACAGCTTCACTCAAGCCTAGAACTAATCTGTACAGGCGAATGACGACCTGGCCCTGGCGACTGATACTCTAGTAAAAGAGGGAAAGAGTACAAGACGTCTAACTATACTAGCCAAGCGGCATTGAATTAGATGATAGAGATTACTGAAAACCAGGGATGGGTAAATCTGTAAGAAACTATTTTCGACACGTCATGTTTCGTTTGTGTCATTTATGTCATTTATGCAATACATGATACACGAGAGTGACTTTACAGTTTACGCTCTGTCTTCCAGGCCGTCCGGCAGGGGCCGTACGATATGACCGACCCAGAGCTGAGGCCGAAAAGTGGTCAAAATTTTAACCAGCCGCCACTTTCACCAGAATTGAGGAACCTCATGACTCGTAAAGATCCAAAAAATTTTCGTGATGTTTAATTCTGGTGAAGAGTTTTGTGGGTATTTAAAAAGGGCCATATAATTTTTTTTATAAACCAGCCGCAACTTAGATCAATAGATAAATAGTTAAAAGTTACTATGTGTAGAAGAAATTTGCGGCAAGATTAAAATGCATCTTGTACCCGAAAATAAACCTCCAAAAAAATAGACCCCCTACCCAATCTTATCTACAATACTCATCTAAAACAGTAAATGAGGCATTTTATATAACATTATAGATAAGTATACGATATCTATATTTTTACAGGTCGATTTTTGGGTATAAGATGAATTCTAATCTTGCCGCAAACCACTTCTCTAGAACAACCTTTTATTTTCTAATTATTGGTGTGAGCTGCGGCTACTTAATTAAAAAGAACATATGGCAATACAATAATAACCACATAACTCTTCACTAGAATGAAATATGACCGAAATATTTCGGATTTCAACAAATCGTCAGGTACTTTAATTCTGGTGCGAGTAGCGGCTAGTTAAAATTTTGACCACCATTCGGCCTCAGCTCTTGGTCTCTATTTTTTTGTACATTTAGAGATCAGTAGATAACGCCAACGCTACGGCGTGAGTGGTGGGTAGGTAATTCACCTTAGGTAACTTACTTAATTTCTTACACGTGAAATACCTGTAAATCACCTGGGACAGTTTCTAACAGTGAATGTCATTTTGTAAGCACAAGCACCTATCACCCGCTGACCCAGGAAGCTTACTGACCTCACTATTAACAAGCGACTTTCACCTGATGACCCAGGGCGCTTACTGGCCACTGTTAAATAATAAATTATTAATAAATAACAAGAGCACCTATTACCCGCTCACTAATTGTGATAAGTTAAACAAGTAGTCGGGGTGCCAGAGGTTCAAAAAATAGATTATTTCGTTGTTGGACAGAATTTGATGAAACCTGGCAGAAAGGAAAGGTCATTGCCCGTACAGTGACCCATTAAAAAAGTTAGAATGTCGGGAAGGTACTTTTTTTATTGCAAAATAACTTTGATAACCCGTTTTTTTTTCAGTTTTCTTGGAATAACTCGAAAACAAAGCGTTTCAGCGAAAAATGTTGAATACAAAAGTTGTTTAGCTGATGATTTTACGTAGGAATATGGTTTTTTTAATTAATTAAAAAATTGTTTTTCCGACCGAAAACCAGCAGAAAAGTAACAAAACATGCATAAAACAATAAGCATTAAAAATGATGAAAAAAAACGATTTCCATCGTTGATATTTAGAAAATTTATCGGTATTGGTATTGTTAACCAAATGCACCCGGTCCGATTTTTCAAAAACAATATGGCGACCTATTGCAAAATTGTTTAGTTAAAACTTCAGAACGCTGTAAATTCTGACTGAACAAACGGATCTTGATAAAACGAATTGAAATCGGTAGGTATTAACGGCATCTTTAAGTGTGCCAAATTTCTAAATTTTTCAACAATTAGTTTTTTTGTTATTAACCAAAAACCATTTTCTGTGCTTCGTAATGTCGTCAATTTACAACATAAAGCTTTGCAACAAAATGCATTTGATTACTCATAATTTTTAATGAATTTACAAAAAAAAATTTTATTGTAGGATTTCTAGAAGCCACGATACGATACTTTTACATTTTTGCTTGTACTACCCGATCTACTGAACGTAGGCAATTTTAACTTGGATATGTAATTTTCAAAAGTTCCAGCTGCACGGCAAAAATATTGCGACATTTATTGTTGCAGTATTTGTTGAAAAATCGTTTATTTCACTCAGTCTGTTTAAGTGGCTTTAGCGCGCGGGCGCTCTGCTGCGTCGATAAGGACGTGCGCCGTACCTACATGCGGCCCGCGTAGCCGTCACTTTCGTCGTTAATTGCAAAATAATTACTCGACAACAAAGGCAAGTACGATAATTGATTTTTTTTTTAATTTGCGTATTTTTTCCCGATCTTTATGATGCAATTCTTAGATTTACGTTAAAAGACATATAAGGGCCAAAAAAATAGTAAAATTCATCAAAACTTGCTATTTTCGCGTTTTTAGTCACCACTGTAGGATGTCTTGCTACGGAGGCCCCATGGGAGTACTATAAAAATAATGGGTGCATTCCGTTATTGTCGCGAGACACGCAAAGAGAAATGAAACGCTTCAAAATTATCGCAAAACTGAAAGGGAGCATTCCAAAATCTCGAATTGCGCAGCGTTGGGTGAAGAGGATTCCCGCAGTTAAAATTACGGTAAGTAACATAAAAGTTACTGTCACTAATATACCAATCTATAGGGCTGTGTGACATGGGCACCCGAACTGTTTCTAAAAATCTGCAAAAATAGCCAAAAAATTGCGCGTAATTTCCTCGAATTTCCGCTACTTGTAAAACAATTCCGCGTGACATACTTTTGTAGTAATTAATTATTATTAGCGGGTGCTGGGTAAATTTTCAATCATCCATTACAATAAATCTATCACACGCAGCTTAATTACAAGAACGCCATTAATTTCCGCGTAACACGCAGAATAAAATTGACTCTTGAGTTGTTATAAACTATTAACAGTTATGTAGTGCGCAAATATTTATTTATTTGCGTATTACCATATCAACTATACTATATCTATATATATGTTGAAATACGCATGCGCGAGAAATTCGCTCCAACAAAATCGTCTGCATCTGGGATGATATGAAAGCCTATATATATATGTAGTAATACATACACTGATAGGTATACAGTCTATAGTGTGGACTGTTAAAAGTTTTGGAGTTTGGACTTTGGAGTGTTTGCGTTTGGACGGTTTGGAGTGTATAGTATATGTTGGATATTGTGCAACGTTACTAGTGCGTAATCAAGCTTTGTGTGTGTTACTTATATCTAAAGTTCAGTTTGCATGAATGACTCATATATATTGCGTACCGTCCTAGTATGCGCCGCTGCGCGGGCAACTAAGTCAGTCGACAGTCTACCGTACAACGGAGACGTTCTCTTTGTCGTTATATACTTATTGTAATAAACCTATCAGTAAAACTCACCTAGCGCTCCCGATTCATTTTTCCTAAAAGGTTATGGGCCCAGAAAAACGCATAAACGCATACTCGTAAACCTAACCGGTTAACGGAAAGCGCGAGTGGTGAATCAACGAGATAGTTGGGACAAAAAAAAAAAAAAAAAAATGGCAGGTGCCGCTACTTCACACGTCGCCCGTTTTGAGCTGCTATCCAGGGAAAACTACGACACGTGGAAGATCCAAATGGAGGCCCTGCTCGTCAAGAACGATACGTGGAAGTACGTATCGGGCGAGTCCCCAGAGGTAAAAGAAGAGGGCACCGGCTCGACCCTGACACAGTCTCAGACAGCTCGCCAAAAATGGTTGTCCGAAGACCGGATCGCCAAATCCGACATCATCCTCTCGATCAGGCTGTCGGAGCTGCAGCACACGAGAGGCTGCACCACATCGAGAGAGGTATGGAAAAGGCTCGAAACAGTCTATGCATCCAAGGGTCCCACCCGAAAAGCCACTTTGCTGAAACGACTTACGCAATCTCGTATGCAAGATGGCGGTGATCTCATCGAACACTTAAACGGGTTCTTCGACGCGGTAGACAAGCTGGAAGCCATGGAGGTACAAGTCAACGACGACCTCTTGGCCATAATGTTGCTATACAGTTTCCCTAGCAGCTTCGAAAATTTCAGGTGCGCAATAGAGTCACGCGACGCGCTGCCGAACGCGGAGATGCTCAAAATCAAGATCATTGAAGAGCACGACGCCAGACAGCAAAAAAGACGTCGACTCTAGCGCAATGTTTGCTCACTCGGGTCACGCGCCGAAGGACCAAGGCCAGGCAAAACCCGGCGGAAATGCGAATAAACAGGGCAAGCAGAAGCCCAAATATAAGTGCGGTTTTTGCAAGAAAGTGGGGCACAAAGAGGCGAACTGTCGCAAGAAAAAGGCTCAAGCGAACCAGGTTGAAGCCGAGAAAGCGAACATCTGCTTCGCGGCCCACGCCTAGTCTCAACACACACGAGCTTCCTGGTTTATAGATAGCGGCAGTACATCGCATTTGTGCAATATAAAAGAAGCCTTCACAAGCCCCAAAGCGATCAATGATGAGTTGAGACTCGCCAGCAACGCCACGACAACAATAGAGGCAAAAGGTGACGTCACAATTAAGGCTAAGGGAGATTACGGCAACACGGTCACCTTTAAGGATGCCCTATACGTCCCTAACCTCCGATCTAACCTCATTTCGGTCGCCAAGATCGTCGATAAAGGCTGCGAGGTCGTTTTCAAGAAAAAGCGTGCAGAAGTGAAAGACCCCGGCGGAACTATCCGGCTAGTCGCCGATAGAGTCGGAGATCTATTTTGCGTGGACGCGGGTGTCGAGACATGTGCAGTCGCCGAGCCGAGCGACACATACGCTACCTGGCACAAACGCCTGGGCCATCTCAACGAACGAGACATGCAGCTGATGTTGAAAAGCTGCGTCGTCGATGGCCTCAAGTTTCAACTTCCGGAGAACGGGGGTCCGTGCGAGATCTGCCTCGCGGGAAAAATGTCCAGCCAGGCGTTTCCTACTCGCGAGAGTTCTACGAGTGAGCTGCTCGAGCTTATTCACACTGACGTCTGTGGGCCCATGAGAGATTCGTCTTTAGGAGGCGCTCGCTACTTCGTCACCTTCATCGACGACAAGAG